ACAACCTTATACCATTCTTCAGCCTTAGACTGACTGTCTCGGAATCAGGTTTTTTTTTTTTATTTAATTTAGATAGCAGTTGGTGAGAAGGCACAGGCCTACGCAAAGGGACGCCTCACTTAGATAAAGAGCCTGGGTTGGTAACAAGGGGAGGGCGTGAGGTATCTTTCTAAGATGAGATAGGCCGGAATGGGAGTTTATTTATTACCAAAGATTTCAGTTGTTTGTAAATGAATTTACGTTCTTGCTAGGGGATACCAAACTATACCAACAACATATATGTTTTGATAGGCTTGACAAATAATTGTATTTTGACAATAATGGTTTTATATTATTATATTTTAATAATGGTTTTATATTATTATATTTTAATAATGGTTTTATATTATATTTTATGTTAAGTGATGGTGGATTTAAAGACAAAACAATTTAAAGTTAGAAGAAATTATCGAAATAATAGATTCCCAAAATCTGAAAGTAATACTAAAACACCCAATGGAATAAATCTTGTTGTACAACACACACACACACATATATATATATATATATATATATATATATATATATACTTGCATACACATACATATATGTACTACACACACACACACACTTATTTATATATATATATATATATATATATATATATATATATATATATATATATATATATATATATGTGTGTGTATTTAGGCAACATATTTTCATTTATACACGTTTCATTAAATAATATAGACAAGTGTTGTCTATTTATTTTATGTAAAATTTTTTCGTATCTTCTGATAAGTTTGGTAACATTATCATTAACCGAAAAAGAAATTCACAATATTTATCCATTATTTTTAATAAAATCTAAGCTTTCGGCTTACTCAAGCCATTATCAAAGATGTAATTACAAACATATCAAACAATATACGGACACGACAGCGATGATAGTCTGTCATTGTTTTGTTTACATAGTGGATCACTAAGCAACGATGAACACGCGCATATAAGACGCTAGAAGCGAAAATCGCACCGCATCTCATGACGTCACACATGACTACACGAGAGTGAATTGTAGAATGAAATAAGGAAAGCCGTTGGTATAAACCAATGGCTTCTGTTACCAATTATAGAAATTATAGACATTTAAGAATATTTGTAGAGATTCCATAGTTGATTTTGTTTAGGTTGGGTTTTAACTGTTTGATGTATAATGCTTCAAGTATTTTTAGTTTTTGTCTATTGTTTTCATGTCGAAGTATAGTTGTGTTTTCGACAAGTATTTTACGGAATTGTGTGTGCGGGCAGGCATGTTGTTTTAAATGCCTAAAAATGTTAGAGTTTTCATTAAAATGTAGTGTCAAGCGTCGTGAAAGCGAGTTTGTGGTGTGACCAACATAAATATTATTTAATTCGTTGGAGATACACTCTCCCAAAGGGCACTTGAATTTATAAACTTTATAAATTTATATTTATAAATTTTACATAAAATAAATAGACAACACTTGTCTATATTATTTAATGAAACGTGTATAAATGAATATATATATATATATATATATATATATGCATATATACCATCCATTTACACTATCAAGGATATTTTAAATTATTAGGAATACCAAGCTGTACCCGAAATCCTTTAAGAGGAAGCTATTAAAGTAAAAATTTAATCAAAGGTAGTTGCATCAGTTGGGGGTGGGGGGACTGTTGTTTTTTGGGAGTTAGTAAATAATAAGGTAAGATCTATATTCTTATATAAGTTTGAACCTACTTCTATGTCTACATTTTGAAACTAGCTCTTTCCTTTGATTTAATAGTTTGCATTGATTATTGTATTTTATTCTTTTTTTTCCCTAAACATAGCCTGCACCTATCTCTAAAACTATTAGGAGTATGCGCAAAACCTATAATTTTCCAATGTATCTGATATTGTGTTACCAAGACTTTATGAATTTAAGAGCAGTACTAGATTGGCAACAAGGCTTTATCAATTTGCAGTTGAACTGGCTAAATGCAACCGTAATTTCTATGCTAATAGTTTATTTTATTGCACTTAGAACTTTCTTCCAACTCCAAGTTTTCCAGCCAACTTTGATCTTCAAAAATTTAAATGCAATGTCGATCGTTATTCTACTGTCTTCTTGATTCCTCTTCTTTTATTCTTCTCGTTCCATAATAATGTTTCGCTTTTTTCTTATTCTTTCACACATCCGTCGTTTTTTTTTTTTTTTTTTTACAGTGTTGTCCTTTCTCCTCCTTCTTTGTAACTTGCTTCAAAAACGGGAGGTTGACCTTTAGACCTTACCTTTAACGTGTCCCTCTGCTGACTTTCTTTGTTTTTCACTGCCAGTGACTGATTCAACAAGCCAGATGTTATAGTATCTTTATTGATCAATTTAAATTTAAATCAATGCAAATTTATTTGAAGTTCACTTAAGTGTTGCTTTCACCGGCCTCTGTTCATTGTCACGCCACTTCCTGTTTATATATATATTATAGTTACTTGCAAATGCTAATTATCCCTCATCTTAATTAATTAATATTAATTATTATTAAAGTATTTTCATTAACAATGTCATTACGGCTGATAAAGTGCAGAAGGGTCAAGGATTCTTCTCTTTTTCAGACTCTAATTTTCATATTAAGAAAACTCAGAGGAATAAAAGTCGTCTGATGAGAAAGGCAATTGCTTCATTCTCTCAGTTAAGATATACTGACAGCATTACACTAACATTAATAGTGATACGATCTATTGTTTCTGTTAAATTATGATAAGAAACGCACACACACAGAAATGAAATGATTATAATTTATAAAAAGTATAATTTATTGTAGGGATGTTCTGCCTTCAATAGAAAAATGATTTTTTGAAGATCTCGGAACGCATCCTTCAGTTTCCTGACTTAATCACATTTGTAGACGTATAGTAAAGAACTTTCAGAGAGCAAATTAATTAATGTTTAACATGTCTCGACATGAGATGATTTTAATAGATAGATAAATAGATATGAACAGACTGAGATAGATAGATAGATAGATAGATAGATAGATAGATAGATAGATAGATAGATATGAAAAGAATGTGATAGATAGATAGATAGATAGATAGATAGATAGATAGATAGATAGATATGAAAAGAATGTGATAGATAGATAGATAGATAGATAGATAGATAGATAGATAGATAGATAGATATGAAAAGAATGTGATTGATAGATAGATGGATAGATATGAACAGACTGAGATAGATAGATAGATAGATAGATAGATAGATAGATAGATAGATAGATAGATAGATATGAAAAGAATGTGATTGATAGATAGATGGATAGATATGAACAGACTGAGATAGATAGATAGATAGATAAATAGATAGATAGATAGATATGAAAAGAATGTGATAGATAGATAGATAGATAGATAGATAGATAGATAGATAGATAGATATGAAAAGAATGTGATAGATAGATAGATAGATAGATAGATAGATAGATAGATAGATAGATATGAAAAGAATGTGATTGATAGATAGATGGAGATATGAACAGATAGATGAGATAGATAGATAGATAGATAGATAGATAGATAGATATGAAAAGAATGTGATAGATATGATAGATAGATAGATAGATAGATAGATAGATAGATAGATAGATAGATAGATAGATGAATATGAAAGAATGTGATAGATAGATAGATAGATAGATAGATAGATAGATAGATAGATAGATATGAAAAGAATGTGATAGATAGATAGATAGATAGATAGATAGATAGATATGAAAAGAATGTGATTGATAGATAGATGGATAGATAGATAGATAGATAGATAGATAGATAGATAGATAGATATGAAAAGAATGTGATAGATAGATAGATAGATAGATAGATAGATAGATAGATAGATAGATAGATAGATAGATATGAAAAGAATGTGATTGATAAATAGATGGATAGATATGAACAGAACTGAAATAGATAGATAGATAGATAGATAGATAGATAGATAGATAGATAGGATTTTTACAGTAGCCCAATATAAGGTTAAAGTGGAGTGTTTAGAAAGATTGTTTATCAGGTCAATTTGTGTATGCGTGTGTATGTGTATTTGTGCGCGAAAGTGAGAGAGAGAGAGGTGGCAGAGGGGGGAAGAGAGAGGAAAAGTTTAGCATAATATTTAGATATCTGCGTATTCATGGATCAAGTTGAATAACAGGATTTTTAATGCTAATTTTTTCAAGGCACACAGTATCTACAGGCAAAACAATCTTCATCCTCATTCAATTACTCCTCATTGTGCCTTGAGTCAGACTATACTCTGTAGATATCAATGTACCCAGAGTTGTGTAAGGAGTAAGCAATTTGAGTTGCCCAACGCTGATGAAACAAATCCCGATGACGACATGTTCTCGTATTTCGATGCTGTGTCACTAAGTTGCAAGATTAAGAAAACAAAAGATGTGTTAATATGAACAAAACAATAATAGAATGAGAGATAACAAAAGATGGTAAGAAAATAATAGTTTCCTGGTACATAATTGAATTAATTGCTACAATCTATATTTATGTGAATGTTCTAGATGTAAGATGGTTCCTGTCAAGGTTGACAATGTGTATAGCAACTTTTTTACAGTTAGTATTGTCTTCATGATGGATACGAACGATTGCTTTAGCCAAGTACTGTATCGTCAGCTTTCTTTTCTCTCAATTATCGTTAAATGCAAGAAACAACATTTTTTTTTTTTTGCTGATGGAACAAAGAACAGGGAAAAGTAGATTCATGCCTTTCACTAAGGGTATCAGTGTGAAGTAGAAATAAACAATATATAATGGAATTCAAACTCGTTTCAACGATTCTTTGTTGACAATCGCTGCCGTTTCCTTACATTGTGTGTGTGTGTGTGTGTGTGTGTGTGTGTGTGTGTGTGTGTGTGTGTGTGTGTGTGTGTGTGTGTGTGTGTGAATGGCTTCTGGACAAACTTCTCTTTGTATATTTTTTTCTAAATTGACCATTATGGTTTTCCATTCTTTTCTAAAATCTCGTCACCTTTCCCCGTCTCTTCATTTCTTTTGGCCCTTTTATCTATCCATTTCCCTGTCACTCCAGCTTTTTACGTTGTATTTTCAGATGATCTTTCTCTCTTTCTGTTGGCCTTCCTTTCCCAGCTTTTATTTCTCTCTCTTCCTCTCTCGCTCTCTTTCTCTGTCCCTCTATTTCTTTCAAAATCTAAACAAGCAGACGATCTTTGGTTCGTTTCCCCTTATTGATTCTCTTAATCTTTACATTCTAAATTATTCTCTTTGATTTTTGTATTTTTTTCTTCTTTGTTATCTTCTAAGCTTGCCTTTATTTTCCTTCGTTTTATGTGCCCTCTCTTACACATTTTCTTTTTTTGTTTCCTCTCCACTTTCAATATAAAATAAATAAGCTCTTGTCTTTCTCTTTCTTATTTTTATTTTTATTCCATTAATCTCCCATTAATTTGCTTTCTTCCCTTCACTTTTTACTTCCCCAATAGTATCAAACCTTCTTTCTATCCTGTTCTTTCATTTTTTTTCTTTCTTTTCTCCTACTCCATTTTTTCTTCCTGTCTCTCTTCTTATTTCCCAATCTCTCCATCTTTCTTTCATATTTCTCTCGCTACTAAGTAATCAGTGGTTCTGTTGTTTTTTTTTCTCTCTCTCTCTCTCTCTTTCAGTGTCTTTCTTTACCTCATCATTTTGTTTTCATCCAATTACACTCGATCTTCCAATGTGGCTTCTTTCTCGTGCTTTTTGGCTGGCCGCCATCTTGGCAGATCACAAGAAGACCAGCAACGAATTCTAAGCGCGATGCTGGCAAACGATTTTCTCCGATTGGCCAGCTTTTCTGATCGCATTCATCATTTGTGTGATTTTCAATAAGTCCATAGGTAGTCGTGTGTCTGTGGCAGGTGTAAGTCAGCAGACAGCTAATTGACTTGATATTTATGAATGTTCAAGTGTGCGTGCTTATGTTTATAAATACATCCTTTTAGCTTTCGGTTGAGGTGGTTGCCCATTTCACACTCATATCAGTGGTAAATGTTCAAGCCGAGGCATAGAAGCAGAATTTCGAATCCTGATTTTCAAGACAAACAGATTTTCCCCAACACAATCTTCCAGAATTATCCCCTTACTTCATTTCTCGCCGTTTGATTTAGTGTTTGACTCAACTAAACAAAGTCAACGTCTTTTAAATTTTGACCCATTTCAGCTTTATATGTTTCCCGCCAACACCACTGGTAGGAGTTCAAAACGAATTAAAAATGATGTTGATTTTCAAATCAAGAAGGTCAATTTACTTAAGAGATTGGTGCATCACAATCTTACAAACTCTTCCATACTCCTTCCATTACTCTAGACGAAAGTCACCGTGTTCTATGGCATATAAGACGCTGACACTATTTGTTTTTTCATCTCCAAAAGATGGCGCAACAATATCTCTCGGGTCGTATACACATAGTTGACATTTCTGATAGATTACGAGTACTTGTAATTAGCCTAAGTCAATAATATTATAATATTTAATATCAATAAGGAGTTGACTTTATATGCAAAGTTGAAATAAATAGTAGACTAATATTTATCCAAATGCTATAGATGTTTAGTACTTGTACCAAGCTTCACTCCATAATATTATAATATTAAATGTAAATAGGAAGAGAGCTTTATATATAAAGTTAAATTATTTGGTAGGTTAATGTTTACTCAGATGCCATAGACTACCAGTACTTTACCAAGCCTAAATTCATTGTTTTATAATATACTAGCAGTAGAGCCCGGCGTTGCCCGGGGATCTATCAGTAAGAGATAGATCAAGTATCGACCATCATAAAGACTGAAAAATAAAATTGACAAAGATTATTGTTTAAGGTTGACGGACACGCATGTCTTAATTAGTTTTTTTTTTTACGAATTGGTCAAACCCAAACTCAAAAAAAAAACATTGTTTACAATCGTTATGAGTCTATCGATTGGTGAATAGAATTTTATTATAAACAATTGTCTTGTAAATGGAATTTTTAAAGCATTCTGAATGTAAATAAAAGAAAAAAGTGTGCAAGACAATAAAAATACTACCTGCCAAAAAAAAAAAAGTGGATGTTTGTTTTTATCGGCTGAAAAATGTAAGAAATCCGATCCCATATATAAAGAACACACACACACACACAACACAAACAAACAAACAACCTGGGGTTTTTTAACCTAAGTCACTCCACGGAATCGCTAAAACATAGAACATAGTCTGATGAAAAAGACGCTAGAGTTTATGAAAAGAAAATTTTATCGTCAAAATGCTTATGTTTTTATGAAGAGGATAGACTAAATTTTTTTTTAATTATTTTTAAAATATTTTACATCTTTTTAGAATATTCTAAATTTTGATTTAAAAACCTTGTTTCTCTTTGTCGCAACAAGGGGTAGTAAATAACAGATAATTTTTAGCGCGTTTTTTGTATTTACACACATTAATTTGGAAAATCTTGCAAAAATAAAAATAATTGTCAGATGTTAATGAAACTTTCAGAAACTATTCACAGATGATCGAAATTATTATAAATATGTTTTTTTTTTATTAAAGTCATGGCAGAAATATTTTTTTTAAATTTAATAACATCCCCATAACTAATTTTATGAAAAACTCTAGAAATTCGAGACCATCGGTTTTAGTGATTACAATAGTTAAAAGCACAAGGCTTTGAAGAATGCAAATCATGCATTTTTTTTTTGGCCAACGTACCTGAAAATCAGCTGTGAATTGTAACATACAAAACTAAATAAAACAAATATATTATTAAGTTTCAAATGCTTTTATTTGTTTTAATTTGTTTTTATGAATATGGACAATATTTTCTGGAAGCAAAAAATTTTTTCAATGAAAATTGAATTTTTAATACAATTATTTCTTATTTCTTTAATTTTAAAAGATTTTAAAAAATGTTTAAATTGAATTTAAAAAAATATTTTAACATTAGTTAAATGCAACATCAACCTTTCAAAATGTCCGTGTGAGATTGTCATTGTCTAGCGCTTTGAAAATTGTATAATTTGGACCAATCAGATTAGCTATGGTAATTAAGAAATGTAATTTTTGTGTTTATAGTCGGACAGTAATTATCATGTACGGAAGACCAGCCAGAATACAATTTAGTTGCATTATTTGAGTTCAGCATTGTTCTCCGCTGTTAAGCCCTTTACTTTTGCGAAACACGTATGGAGAAGTTAATTTGAGTTTTCAATTTCAACTGAGAAGGGTACCTACAAGTAACAGTATCATCTTAAGAAATTTAACTACTGCTAAACTTTAATTTATATGATCTTATTTTTATATTAATCTCAGTTATGACATTTTTCCATAAATGAAATATCAAAATTAATAATAAAATGAATGGAAATACAAATAACACAGTAAAATGTAATAAATGTACATAAAATTATAGTATTTTATGTACATTTTCTGATAAAAATTTCATAAGAAAGGTACCTAAATTAATTAGATACCTTTTTCTTATGAAATTTAATCTCACTATTAACAGTCTTATTTTTAATTTCTTTATATTTTCCATAAAGCATCGTAAACGTAAAAATGAAAGCTAAGTACAAAAAAAAAAAAAAAAAAAATAAAAAATTAGAGCGCTGAAAGTTTTCCTTAAAAGTAACGAGGTAAATAATTTGTTCACTTAAATAATTTCACTTCCTTCCATCCATAGAAAGAATTACCCTCCCGTAAGTTATCTAAACGTCATGAATGTGCCTTTCGTCAATCGTCAAGCGACGCGAAAGGTTATGACCTGCTTTGTTTTATTTTCAAATTACATTTTTCGGCGCAGAAGCTAAGTTAAGCTTGGTTCAAAATATTTTAAATAAACAGTATAATATCTGTTTTATTAAAATCAGTTTTGAAAAATGATAATTGACTTTTAAAAAGAATATCAAAAGTAAGATTTTAATCTTTTTTATCAAATCGAAAAAAATGTTAAAAATGATTGATTTTCTGTCCTTTTTTTACCAAAAAAACAATATTTTTAACGAAAATTTCAGACGTGCTAGGAACGATTAAAAATGTAAAAAAATACTCCAAAAAAATACTTTGATCTTTCCTCTTTAATAATAATATGAACATTAGACGATAAAATTTTGTTTTCGTCAAGTTCGGCGTCTTTTTCATCATGCTATGCTCTTTTGTTTACATTTTCGTGGGTGAGTTGTCCCCCTTTCATTCTCACGATGTGCGTTAATCGTGTTTTCAAATTGATTTTCTTAAAAAACAACTGTGTTTTTCCCATTTCCGGCGCCGTTAGAACCACCAAAAGGTAATTTTATGTAGTCCTGTGAAGTTTTTTGAAATCGGCTAAAAAATGTAGGAAATTCGATCCAACATATAAACGTTACAGACACACACACACACACACACACACACACAACCTGCGTTTTATAATAAGTAAGATTTACAACATTTTTCCTATTATGAATAAGTCGTCGATAATAAAAAAAAATATTCATAACGGAAATTAGTAAATTTGTAAGAAATGAAAAACTCGTTCAACGTTCGTCTGCCCAGTTTGCAGTTTTAGTGCGCGAATTAATTTTTATCTCAACCTTTTTAAGTTGCGGATGGTTAAATATTTTAATAAAAATGTTATCAGGCAAACACAATACGATTTTCAAACTGTTGTAAGCAAATAATATAATAATGACAACTAGGATCATATTACAAAAAACATTCGGATTGAGTCCTTCTTCAGAATGTTAGCGAGACAAAAAAACAAATCGTGTATGCAATTTCATTTTTCTCTTGCTTTAAATAAATATTGTTCTCCGTTTCTTCTCATTTGTTTTTACCATGTGATTATATTTGCCGATATATTAGACGCAGTTGTGGATGGGTACACAAATTACGATTTTTACAAGTAGAATTCGGCATGAAGTGCAATGAGTAAGAATTTTTAAAAAAATCTTCCTTTAAAATCTGAGCTTCATATAGCACTAAAGATTTGATTTCTTTGTGGATTTTATAAGCATATGTAAGATACTTAAATAAAATTTTCCGCTAAAAGGCTGCAATTGTTCATTCCTGACATTCGAGTGCTTGTCGCTTTAGGTGCATCGTATGAGACGCTACAATCATGTTGTCGGTGATGAGGAGGTGATTGAAAATGATTAAAAAAAATGTCCTTTATTCTACTTTTTATTCTCACACCATTCTACTTCCAAGTCAAGTGAGTTTCTCAACTTCTCAGCTGAACAGATCACTTCCTGTTTCACAAACAGAAATCTTTACATTAGCCGAATGAGAAAAAAGTATTTACATTTTTCAGAACATTGTCCTCATCTTTATTGTTATATTCACAACGTTACAGCCATTGTACGCTCCGGCCTTCTTCAGATGATATACGTTGGAATTTCGAATCGAAACCTTTATTGCGTCCACCGGGGTAGATTGTTCTAGTTCCACGTACCATGCCTTTTCTAGATATCTCAGTTTCAGTTATTTCCCTTTTAGTAAATCAACTCTCCACGTTTTTTGTTCACCTTAGCTGTGGCCAGGTATTGAGCTTAGAATTCTTTGGGTCAGTTCACTGGACAGAAAACATCACTGGAAAATACGAAAACTTAAGGAATCAGCGCATATTCTAGGCCACAATCATCTCCTAAGCCGGCCAAGCATCGACATGAATACAATATGAGAACCAGTAATAGAGAGTCTTAGACAAAAACAACAATAACAAGAAATTGTAATATGAGCTCTGGTAAAAAAATGTTTACTGAGACATTAGGTTTATACGTCCCAAAAATTCATACACTGATGTCCCCAACGACACATGGCCCAGAGGATAAATGCATTGAGTGA